GTCTCCATCTCTCATTTCCTGCCTGCTGTCTCGTCTCTTCCTCTGAGCCACATGTTTTCTCTCTAACCCCTGATGGAAGGTGAGTTACGACGCCTGGAAATAAATTCCATTATTGCAGCAGAAACATCTCACCCTGAGAAATGCAATAGAATCCAACCTTTAACTGCAGAGCATTTATTTAGAGGATCGTTCAAAACAACTCAGTCTGCAAAGATGAAACATTTTTCATTTCTGATGTTACTCAGAAGCTGAACTAAATTTCCATAAACTTTAGAACCTTTGACTTCCTGTTTCTCTGGGATGTTCGTTACTTATAGTGCGGCTGACCAGAGAACACGCTGTTCCAGGCAGGAACTGGACTTGGAGCTTCTGCTCCAAACTGTCCTTTTAAAGCAACCAGAGCAGAACCCACATGAGAAGCAGTTTGAGTGTTTCTGGGGAACGGCAACAGTCCGACTGTTAAAGGATGGTTCATTTCTGTCCCACACTCTTGTTAAACTGAACCTGAGCTTTCAGATAGCAAACATACCTGATCCAGAATAGTTAGTTATCCTGAGCTACCTCTATAGTTCTGCTGCTATAGGCTTAGACTGCTGGAGGACATAGGGACCCTTTTCATCATTCTGATTCACTCTCTCTATTCGGCCAACCTGCAGCTGTGGCCGCTCACACTGAGCCTGGTTCTGATGGAGGTTTCTTCCTGTTAAAGGAAGTTTTTCCTCTCCACTGTCGCTTCAATCATGCTTAGTGTGAGGGATTGCTGCAGAGTCAATGAGTCGATGCAAATGTAAATCATGGCTGTAGGCTCATCCAGGAGGAGCAGGTCTGGAAGTGACTGGATGCAGTCAGCTGCTTTTCATGAAATGAATCCAGCCTGACTGATTCTCTCTGTAAAGTGAGCTGATGGGAAGTCTAGTTAATCGGCTCTATAGAAATAAACAAACAGTCCAGGAAGGTCAGAACTTCGCTAACAGAACCTCAGATATCTGGACTGGTCCTCCATCATCCAGAGTTGGATTTTACTGGGATGATTGAATCAGTCGCTGCAGTTTTATCGCCTCTGAGTCGCTCGGCTTCAAAGTTTCCATCTAATGGATTTTATTATCAGGCAATAAAAGCTTATTTAAAGCAACGATTTATGGAAACCAAAGCTTCCCAGACTGCAGGATGAACACTGGTTCATATCAGCCAATCAGATGGACTCATTTACTGGCAGCTGATTGGATCCAGATGTTTGGGTTCAGGGAGGTGGTTCACTAGTGACCTACCTTCTCCAGATGAGCAGTCCCACCCCCATGGAGAGCAGCATGACGAGGGCGGCCACAGACACGATGACGATGATCACCACCGGGTTCTGTTCGCTGGACGCCAGGGCCACTGGAACCGACAGAACCAATCAGAACCATTCAGGAACC